GGAACCAGCTCAAAGTCGGGTTCACCGATGAATCTAAGTGTGCCTCTTTTTCTCGAAACCACTAAGCTCTCCATGTCTCTTTATTTATTTATTTTTTAATGGAAACAGGCCCCCGTAGCTTTAATTCCCTTGAGTGCCAGGAATGGGTGTGATCTTTTTTTTAATGGTGTATTTCCTTTTAATCTTGTGCTTGTTCCCATGTCTTCACCTGCTTTCCTTCTCCAGAAGCCCTTTCCTGGTAAGTGCCCCGAGACTGGCCCCCACGCTCTCCGGCGTGGTCGCTGTCGCCTTTTCCTCCGCAGAGCGCCTCAGCCATTTTCTCTCTGTGCAGCTGCAGTCCCACCCCAGGAGAGAGGGGCACTTTGGTAACGAAGTGTCCACTGGGTTTCTCGAGTGCTGACCCCAGCGTAGACAGTTCAGACCGCTCACTTCCAGGTCAGCAGCTCCTGACCCTGCTTTGGCAGCTCCCCCGGAGTGTTTTCATGTATCTCATGGAATGAGACCACGAATTCCCTGCGTGGGTCTCTGACTTGCTAGTCCTGGGGTCACCCCCTGCTAATTCAGCTCCCGGAAGGTTGGGAATCTTTCTTGGGAGTTCTGCTTTCAGCAGCGCCCAGTTTGTACCACAGACTACACTTCGGCACCCCTAAGGTGCTATTGATTAAGACACTTCTGTTTTTTATGTATTTTTGAAAGAAAAGAAAATGCCAGTCATGAGTGCAAAAGGCCAGAGGCTGTAAGATACTCCTTAACTTCAGGGATGTTAAAATGTCGTTTTTAAAAAAGGCATCTTAAAATGGGCGGACATCTTTTAAGAATAAAGGGATTTCCCTTTGCCTATTGCCTAGCAGGTTAACAAGCCCCCCCACCATGTGCCAACTCTAGATTGAAAGTAGTAGCTACTCACGTACTGAAGGCTTCTGAGTTACAGCCTTGAAGAAGAGGCTGTGGCTGAGCTGCGGTGATTGGTGGGGAGATGTGAGGGTAGCAGATGGAAGCCTGGTAGTACCATTCACCAGCCAGTCAGCTGTGCCAGGCACTAGGCTCACGCCTTACACACATTCTCACCGGAGCCCTGCCTTGTGCATGGGGAAGTTGAAGCATAGAGGGTTCCAGCGATTGCCCAGCTGAGGGAGCTGAAAACTGGCCTTTGAGTGCAGCCTGCTAAAGTCCTGGTGTGGTCTGAGCCACCTCTGGGTGTCATTAGAGTGGCAGGGTACTATTCCATCCCACTCTGTTGGGGAGAGGCTGGAGGGCCCCTCATTTTGAGTGAGGGAGTCACTCTGAAGGTGGCTCTTTTTCAGCTAGGAGGGAATCTCTTACGCTTTACTCCACTGCATCCAGATAGTGCACGAGTTGCTTGGCAAAGCATTATTATGCCCAGGGTTTGGAGAAATCATGTGCATGATAACCTAATTAGTAGAATCTCAGGAGTGATCTATTTTTGGCACTTGAGTCGTCCATATTTAAGCAAGAGCCACTTCTCTTAAGCTGGTCTGGCCCCCTGTTTTTCTGTGATGGTCTCCTTGGCACACCCTTGATTGAGAGTAGAGCAGCCCAAGTTGGTGCCTGAGTCCTGCTGCCCGCTCCGTCCTCTTAGGAATGGGAGTAAGCTTTAGCCAGGGAGTTAAAGACCCACCAGGAGCTCAGAAGAGCAGTTACACACGTTTGGCCTTGTGCAGAGGGGAAAGGAGGGCCTCCTTCCTTCATCCACTGTGGGCAGGGCCCTGAGGGGCAATAAGGATAGGGCCCTCAGACAAACCAGCGAGGGAGGACTCTTTCTAGCTCTGCTTGGCTGAAGGCTACTACCTGTAAGCCAAGGCCTGGGGCCTTGGGAACTAGGGACTATTGGTGCAAGGGGCTGGCATAGACAGAAGGGTGTGGACTGGTTGTGGCTGGTTGTTACTGGTCAGTCTCCCTCTCTGGAGGCCTGCACCTAAGACCCAGCTCCTAGGACCATGTGGACCTGTGGCCCATCCCCTCCCCTGCCCCATAGACTCCTCTTCCTGGGCCAATGTCTTTTTCTTCCCAGTTCTGCTCCACTTGTCTGCTCCAGCAGCTGTGGCTGGGTGCAGCTGCCAATTAAGCAAGTGGGACTGTAAGTGACAGGCTAAAATTAGGTGTATCTACACCCCCGGCCCTCCTTTCTGAGTCTTCTAGACTGCTAGTTGACAGTAACTTGCTAAGCTTGAGGAGGGGGCAGAGGCTTCCCGGGAATGTGAGTTTGGGAGTTGTGTGTTTTAATTGCTCTAAGCCAGTGTCTGGGTATCTGTGCATGCTGCTTCCTCCCCTGCAGGTTCCGACGGGAACAGCATGGATTCAGTGGATGGCTGCTGTGGCCTCAGGAAGACTGATGGTTTCCAGAATGCCCAGGCGAGCTCCAGTCCTAAGAAGGTTGACCTCATTATTTGGGAGATTGAGGTGCCAAAGGTAAGGTCCGCAAGCTCAAAGTTCCCCCTGGCCCAAGGTCGTCAGGCTTAGGGGGAGAGGTCCCAGGGAGGGCCGGTCAACCAGGAGAAGCCCCTCAGTGAGCCAAAGCCTGGAGGGAAAGGAAACGCTGCACTCTGCCAAGGTTCAGAGAGCTTCCTGCAGAATGGAATTCCTCCAGCTGCCTTCGAGAGCATCCTATTCTTGTCCTCTTCAAACTCCCAGGCCTGCTTACCTCCCTGGGCTTTTCTTGTGTGTCCCGGGGCTCAGATCTGTTTGGGGACGCTTGCAGAAATGAAGACATGGGCCAGCCACGAGTCCCTTCACTGCACTCTGCTCAAGCTCTTCAATGCGAAGTATTTTATAACTGAGCACAGCATAAATCCATATTTTAGAGAACTTGGAAGTACTGAAATGTATGAAGAAAATAAAAATCAGCTTTAATCCTACCCCTGAGAGTGACTGGGAAGACTTTTATTTCCTTCTCGTCTTGCACCCTGCGGTTTTTAAACAAAACTGAGATTATGTTGCTTTAATTAATGCTTTTAAATATTTAACAATTTAATTTTCCTATGCTATTCTTTGAAAAAGTAATTTTAACTATAGTCATTGTGTGAATGGCAATTTACTTCACCAGTCCTCAATTCTAGGATGTTTAAGTTGTTTCTAGCTTCTTGCTATTCTGACTTACAACTTATTAGCTTGGTCTTGATGTTTATCTCTAGGGCTCAGAAATAATTGGCCAGCGGCATTCTCCCAGGGCACTTAGCTCCCTACCTTGTGGAAACTTGGCTTGATTTGAACTCTGGATCAGGCAGGCTGCTCTGACCTGGGGCGCTGGCTCCCTCTGTCCCTCCACCCCCAGTCATAGCTATCCTGCCCTCTTCTCCTTCAGTGACTACAAAGGGCACAGCCAGGCAGCTCTGGCTGTGGAGGCACCACGTCCTTAGTAGCTCCGTGGGGGCGGGGTCATTTGGGATTGATTCGGAGCTTGTCTTACATCATAGCTAAGTTTGGCTGCTTCTGCCTGCCTTGAACTTTGGCGTGCTGGGCACTTGTGTGAGCCTGGGGCTCTGAAGGCTCCAGCCTGCTGTCAGTTGGTAGCAGGAGCCCAAGGGTTCTTTCTTAGACCTTTATTTTTAAGTCAAGCCCCTTTATCTTGGGTCCTGGGTAGACTTGAAGAGCTGAAAGAGTCGTAAATTGCACCTTATATGCTGGCAAAACATCACGTAGTGTAGATTTGGGAGGGGGAAATACTACCTTTTCAGCGTTCTGAATTTGGGCCATATTGTTGGGGATGAAATGGGAACTGCTGAGTCCTAGAGCCAGACTGTGTATTTCAGTGCTTAGTAGCTGTGTGGTGTTGGGTGAATTACTTAGCCTCTCTGGGCTTGTTTTCCTCATCTGTAAAATGGTGATGAAGGTGCCTATTTCAAAGATACTATGAGTAAATGCAAATGCTTAGAATAGTGCCTGGCAGATGGGTGCTGGAATGTTAGTAATAGGTTTGAGTTTGACCTTGAAATTATGTCAAACAAAGGTAGGTTTTGGGGAGTGCAGACAGTTGTTTTCCCATTAACCAACTCACTCATGCACTCTCTCTCTCAGCACTTAGTTGGTCGGCTAATCGGCAAGCAGGGGCGATATGTGAGTTTCCTGAAGCAAACATCTGGTGCCAAGATCTACATCTCAACCCTGCCTTATACCCAGAACATCCAGATCTGCCACATAGAAGGTTAGTGGCCGCTGCTGCCCTGTGTTTAGTTTTCTTACCTGAAATGTAAGTAAATTGAAGTATTTGAGTCCCAATTGCTCCGCTTTTGGAATGTAAATCCGAAGAGAAAACTCTGTTCATTCCAGTGAAGGGAGCACTGGGTATTTTCCCTTCACCCCTCATTCTCAGTTCGGGTGTCTGAAGGAGACTCAGATCCCTCCCCAGACCTGGCGAGGAGGAGCATGGGCACTCGGGTGGGGGTGGGAGTGGGGGAGTAGGCTGGGTTTATAGTGCCTGCTGCAGTGTGGGATTTCCCTCCGGGCTTTTCCCATCTGCTAGCCTGTTACTGTATTCAAAGTACAAGTCTCAGTGGTAGAGGTTGTCATTGGAAAGGTTAATGGGTTTCTAGCCTCTTTAGATAGATGCCTTTCTTCCTAAGGAAAAACAGCATTTTGGCACCTTAGAGATATACTTGAACTCTAGGAAAAGTCCTTTGGAAATGGGTGTGTGCATGTCTTACCTACTTTGACTGTGTCCTGCTTCCACCCCTGTTCAGGTTCTCAGCATCATGTAGACAAGGCGCTGAACTTGATTGGCAAGAAGTTCAAGGAACTGAACCTCACCAATATCTATGCTCCCCCACTGCCTTCACTGGCACTGCCTTCTCTTCCAATGACTTCCTGGGTAAGCATGCTCCTGGGGGACCAGGACTTCCTACACCCCTTTACCCCAGCGTACCCCAAACAAGAAACTCCCAGCACCATGGGCCAAGAAGGCCAAAAGCTCATTGATGCCTGTGCCCTCTCACCATGGGCCTCTACGGGTCAGTTCTGCTTCTAGCCCGTGTCTTCTGGGGAAGGGTCAGGCTGGGGTGCTGGTAGAAAGCCAGAGCCCTGAGTGAGGCCACCTCTATGTACATTTTTTAATTTTTTTACGCCTACAGCACCTGGTCTTCCTGGGTGGTCTCCCATCCGAGTACTAACCAGGCCCGTCCAAGATCAGACGGGATCGGGCACGTTCAGGGCGGCATGGCCGTAAACTGAGGCCACCTCTAGTGGTTACCCATGGCAGGACAAGGGCCACGGTGGTATTGAAAAACTTTCCATGCTAAAGTAAATTTTCCTTGGCATGGCCGTAAACTGAGGCCACCTTTAGTGGTTACCCATGGTGTGGCAGGACAAGGGCCACAGTGGTGTTGAAAAACTTTCCATGCTAAAGTAAATTTTCCTTGACCCCTTGCCACCCGGGCGCCATGTTGCCTTGGGTTGCTGTGCCCTTTTCAAAGATGTGCTGGTTCAGAGACTTGCCCTGGGACCTGGGGGGCTTAACCCAAACGTAGAAGAGAAGGATTGCTTCAGTGCCCGCTGCCCCTCCCCCCTCTCCAGCTCATGCTCCCGGATGGGGTCACTGTGGAGGTGATCGTAGTCAACCAGGTCAGCGCCGGGCACCTGTTTGTGCAGCAGCACACGCACCCCACCTTCCACGCTCTGCGCAGCCTGGACCAGCAGATGTACCTCTGCTACTCTCAGCCTGGAATCCCCACCTTGCCCACCCCGGTGGAAAGTAAGTGCTGTCCCTAGGGGTCGGAGGGATGCCCTGGGCTCTGGCCCGGCCAGGGAGGAAGCTTTGGCGGGCGGCCTGTTCTGCCTCTTGTCTTGACCAGGAGGAAGCTTTTCTAGGGTCTTTCATGGGACCAGAACCCCTGAGTTCTTGCCGTTGACAGGGAGTTACTTGGGCCGAGTTGTCTGCCTAGCTTAAGATGCTGTTTCCATTGGCGGGCAGAGCCATGGGGTTGGAGTGGAGTTTTGACACGTAGATCCAGATCCCACTTTACCTGTTGAATGGGATTGATGCCCACTTGTTCCAGGATTAGGGTCATATGCTGTATGTGTTACATGTAAGGTACCTGATGCAGATACAGCTCTCATAGAACATCTCTTGAGTGCCGCAAACTCCTGGGTCGTTCCAGTGAAGTGACCCAGTCTTTAAGTGGACTGGGTCATCTCCGTTTGACAAGATTGACAAGAGAAAACTGAGTTTCTGAAGTCATGTGACTTGCCCAAGCGAGTGTCTGAGCAGGAGCTGGGATCTGAACCCAGCTGGACCCTTGAGTCCATTCTTCGTCACTGTTATCTGTGTTGCCTTGTTAGCAGGAATCGAATGTCAGGACATCTCTCCGCCCACCTCCATCAAGGACTCCTAATCTACAATCCCCCAGTGGGCTTCCAGCATTAGGAAAACCTTTGACATTATCTGTAGCATTTCATCTGATTTTTCTTTTAGAGGAATAAGGATTTTAGTTTTTATCAGATTCTCTATGTTGCCTCAACTCAGCGAGAAGCCACACTGGAGGCCAAGATGTGAGGGCACAGGGGTTGCCTTGTAGGGTCGGGACACAGTGTGGTCAGCTGTGTCGTAGACTCTTATCCCAGCTGGCCTGGGGCAGCTGCCAGGAATGTCACTGGGCAACCTCCGCCATGGTTCAGTCTGTCCTGCCCCTGCCACCCCAGGTTGGGGTTGGTGACTGTTGGGGCACTTGCTCCCTGGCCTTATTGGCTGCCCAGGGCTCCTCGTCCACAGCATCTTTCTGAAGCAAGGCCAGGAAGAAGTGGGATTCAGGCCTGGGAGTCTCCTTCTGATCAGTCCTTGATCTGAGTCGTCATGGGCTGGAGCAGATCCTAGATGCTGGGCCACTGAGATCCATTGCACCTAGAGGTTCTTGAGTCTTTCTAGGACTTTCCCTTAAGAATATAAGTCTCCGTTCCTTAAGTTTCATGTTTTACTTTTTTTCTCCGGCTAATCTGTGTCCATCTCAGGCTTCAGTTAAGCTTCACAGTAAACAAATCTAAATGAATGCTTTTTGGTCTGAATAGCTTTTGTGGCAGCACACACGCTAGGCTGAATTTCCTATGTCCAGTTTCTTCTGGTGGCCAGTCTCAGGCTCTGGGAGGCTCCAGGGACTCCTCGCCATTCCCGTCCCCCGTGGCCTTTGAGAAGGAGTGTGGGGAGGTGGGTTGCGTTGATTGGGTGGCCCCTGGGACCCTGCCCTGGGCCAGCCTTGTCCACACGCTCTCTTCCTGCCCCACAGTAACGGTCATCTGCGCTGCCCCTGGCGTGGATGGTGCCTGGTGGCGAGCCCAAGTGGTGGCCGCCTATGAGGAGACCAGTGAGGTCGAGATTCGCTACGTGGACTATGGTGGATATAAGAGAGTGAAAGTAGACGTGCTCCGGCAAATCCGGTGAGTCAGGCTCCTCAGGCACACACTCAGCTTGTGAGGGGACTGTGATTTCCGCATGGCTGGCACAGTTCTGCCAAGCCTGGGACATGGGTGAATTCTTCCTCCTGCTGCCTGCTCTGCTTTAGTGGAGTCTGGTATAAACAGACTTCGCTGTTTGCCTCAGCCAAACTGAACTAGAAAGGCCTGTCTTATGGAAGATTTCCCCGAGTATCATGGCAAAAAGGAAGCAGGCTTCTTTTAGGGAGTTTGCGGGAAGTCCCTCTGAGGTCAGACTTGCAGCGGGACCGGCGGCCTGCATTCAGAGCTATGGGGAGCTAAGGCCTGCTGCCCATCAAAGGTGCCTCTGCTCTGCTTCGTCCTGGGATGCAGGGGTCACAGCACTAAGCAGAAGGTAAATGTCAGCCTGGAGTGGAGTTGGCCTTCAAGTCCATGTTCAACGTGTTCTTCTTGTTTTCCTAGGTCTGACTTTGTGACCCTGCCATTCCAGGGAGCAGAAGTCCTCCTGGACAGCGTGATGCCCCTGTCAGGTAATGGGTGGGGGCCTCTGGCCGTGGGCTTGGTGAGGGATGGGGGCAGTTGTTGAGAGTAGCTCTTTCTCTTGGAGAGCCTTGTTCTCCCCTGGGGAGTTCATGTTAACACAGATTGCTTCCACTGCCAGTTTCTGACTCGTAGCTTTGAACCAAGGCCTGAGAACTTACATTTCTAAGTTCTTATGTGATGTTAATGCTGCTGCCCCTCTGGTCTTTTCTTGCCCTGTGGGTAGTCTGTATCAGGGACCCTGAGTGTATATAGAGGCCTGGGCTCTGTTCCCGACACAGGTGGCTCTGCCAGATGAAGTTCTCAAGGCCCATGGCAACGTCTAAGGCCTTCTACTTAGAATACACCTGGAAGCTGTGTAAGTGACAAGAGCACCTTGGTTCAATGAGAGTCTAAATGCTGATTTTCCTCCTTCTAAAGATGATGACCACTTCTCACCTGAAGCGGATGCAGCCATGAGCGAGATGACAGGAAATACAGCACTACTGGCTCAGGTGTGTGGCTGGTGGGTGGGAGGCGGGCCAGGCCTCACTGGGTCTGCCTGAGAAGCCTTCTGCCTGGCTCGAATGGCTTCCAGCCTCATCTGAGCTTCTTGGGAACTGACTTATAAACTCCTGCCTTCCTGTGGCTCCTGCCCTAGGTTGGCCAACAGTCTTTTTTTTTTTTTTTTTTTTAATTTAAAAAAATTTTTCAATTATAGTTGGCATACAATATTTGATTCAAGTGTACAATATAGTGATTAGACATTTATATAACTTATGAAGTGATCACCCTGATAAATCTAGCACCCACCTGACACCATATATATTGACTTAGTTATTGACTAAGGCTGACAGTCTTTAAGGAGAGGTGCATGGGGTAACTTTTAAACATGCTTTCTGTTTGTTTTGTTTTTAGGTGACAAATTATAGTCCAACTGGCCTTCCTCTGATTCAGTTATGGAGTGTGGTTGGAGATGAAGTAAGTTCTGTCCATTTTTTCCTTCTAAGTTACTGGCCAGCAATAATGATTGATTTCAAGCTGGTTCTGCCATCGTTTCCTCTTGAGCTAATTAGAGGATGTAATTATAGACTAGTGTCCCCCAGAAGACATTTGGCAATGTCTGGAGACCTTTGTGTTGACACAGTTGGGAGTGGCGATGCTACTGTCATCTAGTGGGCAGAGGCCAGGGGTGCTGCTAAACATCCTACAGTGCACAGGACGGTTCCCACAAAGAATTATGTGGCCCTAAATGTCAGTGGGCCTTCCTGGGCCTTTGTCCATTGGGTTTCCTACTCCTCCATCTCATGATGGTATTAAAGCTTAGATTTCTCTGTCCTCATGCCAGTAGAACATGTAAGTAAATGTCCCCGTTTGTCCAGAAAATGAGGCAAGCTCCCCACCTCCGTTACTCCCGTGCCTGTTGCCTGCAGCGGTGGCCTGGGACTGGCTTGAGAAATGGCCCCTAGGTGCCGCGGGCAAAGCTCTCAAGCGAACTTTCTTTTCTAGGTGGTGTTGATAAACCGGTCGCTGGTGGAGCGAGGACTCGCTCAGTGGGTGGACAGCTACTACACTAGCCTCTGACCCCACCCCCCACAGACGCTGGAGTCTTTTTTGCACTGTTGAAATTGGGCTTGGCACTCAAGGCAAAGACTTTACATCAGAATAACAAATGTTGTCCTCAGAAAGTCCTTTTTTTCACGTTGAGAAGATGGTTCGTCTCTAAGAACAAGGAAGGAGCTGTGGGTTCTTTCAAAGCCATAGGATGGTGTTTTAACAAGCCAGTCGGCTTAGCCTGGTTCTGAGCTGTTAATTATCTGCACCAGGTTGTCCTATCCCCCTTCCTTTTATTCCTCTCTTCTTCCTTCCTCCCCTACCCCAAACCAAACCAACGGTAGCAGACAGGCCGAGGGATGTGTTGCTTGCTTGAGAGGGTTTCTTCCTTTGCTTCAAAATCTTTCTTCAGGGAGCAAGACATGAACTGACTAATTGGTATCAATTACTTGTACAGCTTACATAAATGAATTTATGATACTTAGCCAGTTTTTATAAACTTCACCTAGGTCTCTAAGAAGGCAGACTTTTTAAAGCTTATGTAAATACAAAGCAATCAAACCTCCAGCCTTGGTCAATGGGGGAAGGGATGTTCTCGCCAAGCCTGGTTGTAATTTGTAACCATTTTCTATTTGTGCAAACTCTGTAAATATATGTTTAAAAGATGTAATATTTTGTACAAGATACACTGGAGAACAAAGGGAACTCAAGCTTTTTCCACAGCCCATGTCATCTGTGAGCAGAAGTTACTTCCGCGGAGTGCAGCTGCCCACGCCAGCTCGCGCTGCGGGCTGCGGGCTCCCGTTGCGTCCTACGTACTGAACAGGGTGACTGTATAATATAGATTGTGATCCAGGGATTTTTTTTTTTTTTTCTGTACAAATTTGTTTAAAAAAAAAAAAAAGCAACTCATTGAATTACCTTGCAATGGTGTGTTTGATTCTTTTTTAGACCGGTTCCAGCATTGTGCAATTTAAAATAAGTAACGTAAGCTTATATAAATCTTGAATTGTATACATTATAGATAGCTTTGAGTTCATTCGTTGCATGGTGAAAAAGATTGGGGAGGGAAGAGGAGGATCGTGAGTGCGGTGTGCTGGAGGGTCGATCTCAAGGAGACGATGGCTCTTTGATTTTGGCCAGAAGTTTCCATCTGGCAGTGGAGCTTCCTCTGGATTCCTCCCGCGACTATCTCAAATAGCTAGCTTGAGTTTAAAGCACTGGTTTCCAAAATTCTTCGTGCATTCTTAATAGATGTATGAAGTTATTTAATTTATTGCAGTGGTAAGAATGCTATATAAAATACACATACATTTACATGGTGAGAGCAGATACTAAATGTTGACTTACCTCTTCTTACAGGCAGGGTCAGGCCTCTTAGACCAGGCCTCTGAGCCTCCAAGCTGACCTAGCCTTTCAGGGTTCTCTAGAGAGCTGAGATGGCCCGAGGGCCTTTCACACCAAAGGAATCCCTTCCCAGAGCTGTGGACAATAAGTGGCGAAAAGCCTAGGTTTTTCCCTCATCTGTAGGATCAGATAGGAATGCTACCTCAGAAGGCAAGGACGTGAAATCACGGAAGCATCCCCTGCTTGTGCAGAGTTGGCCCTCGCGAGTTCTCATGTATTCTTAGCTGCCCGTAGTCCAAGTCTCAGTGGTAATTGGGTGCGACTGGCCAAGTCATGTTACACCCAGATCTCAGTTTGTATCGCTGGAGTGGGAAAAGGGTGTATGGGAGCCTTCAAGCTAGTTTGGAGAGCTCCAAAGCCTGGTGTACAGATTTGGCTTTTATTTTTGGCAGCCATTGAGAGGTTTTAACGGAGGAGGAACCACGTGATTCTGGTGCAGGGAGGAGGATGGGGGAGGTGGAGAAGCAGAGACCAAAGCCAGTATGGTCCAGACAGGTGGCTTCCTCTCGGATGGCTCCTCCATGACAAGTGATGTGGTCAGGGTTCTTAGATCAAGCCTCCAGGATTGAGCGGGTCGGGGAGAGCAGTGAGGATGAGGAAGTGGGCTGCTCTTGTATCTCTCAGGTCTCATCTGAACCTTCTGGGGTGGTCCGCTAAACGAGATTTGGTGCATGGGAGGAAAAGTGAGTTGGAGGTTGGTAAAAGGCTTGCATTGTACCCTTTGAACAACTCTTCTCAAATTGTTGGCTTTTGATCAATTTCCAGAGTTCTGAAAAAGTTGATTCTGACCATTTTGCCAGTAATCTTGTTGCTTTTATGGAGGAACAGATTTATAGAGGTCTGGCTGCGCCATTCCAGGCCAGTACGTTTTAGACTTGTTCTTTGAATTAATTACCTGTGAGCCATCACAGAAGCTGGCACTGCGGAGATTTGGTGATTTGCCCCGGGGTGTTGGGGAGAGAGATGGGATGCTGAGTGCAGGAGGCTAGAGTTTCTAGCCTGTTTTTCCTTCAGCTTGTGCATGACTTCTCCTCAGGTCCTTGGGCCCCTGCCAGGTGCAGGAGGGGTGACTGGTCCTAGTAGGGGGGCTGGGTTCTGGGGTTCTGCTATACATACAGTCTTAGGCCAGTTAGAGGTTATCTCTAACCATCCCAGGCTTAAGGTAAAACAAGATTAATAGCCAGGGTTATGGACTGTTTACTGTGTCCGATGCTGTGCTGTTTGTAGGTAATACTTGGTCCCCAGTGAGGCAGGGATCGACCTTGGAGATAGAAGGTGGTGACTTTAGAAGGTGGTTTTTGGAAGGAACAGATCTGAGCCTCAAAGCCAGGTTTTGCCTTGTTTTCTTAACCATGGCCCCTGAAGCCACAAGAGGAAGGTGGTGCCGTGTTCCATCCACCAGATAAATGCCACAGTGCTTCAACGATCAGCCCCTAGGAAAGTTTGACACTTAGAATGAAAAAAAGACTGCGACAGGAGAGATCAGTTATTTTGCCTATATGAAAAATTAAAGTTTGATGTACACAAAGCCAGGAGAAACTTGTAGCATCTAAACCAAAAGTGAACATTTTTAACCTACGATGATCTAAAAGGAAAACTTCGTCTCCATTGGAAAATGTCGGAAAGGATATGGGCAGAAAATAGGAAATCTGGGTCTGTTTCTCGGCCAGCGCTGCCCAATAGAAATCCATGAGCCATCTGTGTAATTGAAAATTTGCTAGGAAAAAGAAACATGAAATTAATAATAGTTTATTTAACCCAATATCTCATTTCACATAGACATAAAAAAATATTAACATTTTACCATGTCTTTGAAATCCAGTGTGTATGTTTCATACTTCAGCCTGTTTCAATTCAGACTTATCACAGTTCAGGTGCTCCGTAGCCACAGGTGGCTTGGGACAACCAAACCAGACAGCACAAGACGAGGCTATTCCTTGGATCACCATTGCACAACTACTAACAGCCTTATACATATTCTTCCTTACTTTATTCCAAAAGTTCTAGGTGTTTTTGCACATTTTTCCAGATGAATTTCAGAATGATTTTTTTGGGGGGGTTGGGGAATGGCTCATTATAAATGTTCTACTAACATTTGAAAATAATGTATATTGTTGGTTTGGTATAAAGCTTTTATGTAATCATTAAATTGGGCTTGTAAATTATTCAGATCTATTGTTTTTTGCCCCCTTCATTCTTTTTTTTTTTTTGCCTGTACTCTGTCCATATCTAAGAAAAGCACATTAAATGATTCTAATATTGTCATGCTTTCTGTTTTTATTTTTAAGTTCCTTTTATAAGTTTCAGTTATGATGCTTAGTTTGAAAAAGCTCATGAAAAGTATTTCCTCATCAATATAAAATAGCGTTGGTGTCCTGTTGGTGCTTTTTGTTTTGAATTTTATATCCTTTTTCTCTGTCACTTTAGGCAAGTGGCTTATAAACACATTACTAGAATTTTTTTTTAAGTGAAATCTGGAAAGTCAATAGATGAATTTAACTTGTTAATTGTGATCACTGTTGCAACATTTGCCTTTTAGTTCATTTTCCTATTTTCTAATTGTTTTTTTCTGCTTTCCTCATGATTTGCTTGATTAAAATTTTCTCCCTAGTAAATTTAGCATCCAACATCTTGTTTCCATATTATCAGTGGATATCAGTTATCCACTGATAAAAATGTTTCTCTCAATATCACTTATGTAAGGCTTTCTTCCTTACTGAACACGAACCTCAGCAGAATGCCAGATTTCTGT